GCGGTTTGACATTAAGTTCAGCTCATCCCTCTTCAGTTTATACTGGCTTCTACTGACTCTCAGTAATTGCTTATTACCAGTGTCTAGACCTTAGCTTGACCTACTGTCCATGCTAAAGTACAGTTCACAGTGTATCTGCATGGTGAAGGCTAGGGCTGCATGATATGACAAAATACTACCATTGCAATTTAAATTCTACTAAAAATGGGACAAATACCACTTTTTCTTTTCTCAAAATACCACTAAACCACCTAATGAGCTGTTTTGAATTGATGCACTTTTCACTTGAGACGAGCATCTAAAAGTATGCTTCATCACTGTGTGTGCTGTTTCAGGATAGCTTTGTTACAGGACTTTTTATTATAAGCCCAGTACCAACATGCCATCTCTAATTGCTACATATGATTGTCGTACACCATGCAATATATATTAAAACACATGTAAAGATCAGTTTGCATCATGTCGACCAAAATAACTTACTTTTGTTGGATTACATGAACAACATCCTCATCCTCAGAAACAATTATCTGGTGACTGGGTAAAATGCTCACTACACGACTGGTTAAAGGGCTCTTTTGCACATTGCAGCCTCCTGTTATATGAGTATTGCGAAAATCACCAAATTGATATTGGTAAGGCCGATATTGCAGTCCTCATGTATTGTACAGCCTTGGTGTAGGCTTAGTCAGAAAGCCAAATAGAGTTAAGTGTTTTGGAGGAAAGGATTCACAGTAGGAGGGTTTGGGAAGTCCCCGTTATTAAGGTTACCTCAAAGTCCCACCCTTTACTGAAGCAAGAGAGAACAATTCCATGACCTGAAAAAGGATGTGTGTAAAGACTTCTGGGTTTGTAGTGAGAACTTGGCAGGGGGTGGAAATTAGCTAATTATCTCTACCTCTTTCTCAGGATGTATCCGCAAATGGAACAGATTTGCTTCCTTCTATTAGAAAAGATGTGGTTGCTCCCTAGAGTCTGCGGTTTGGTGGTCAACAGGGCACTCGCATGGGAAATTTTAGAGAACTGGAACCTGAGGTCTTTCATGAGCTTTGCTGTAACAGAACCATGTATTACAGGACAAAGAAAGATGATTATTTCCTGTAATGTTCATTAATATAACAAGATTTTATTCCAAGCCCTTTTGGACCAATTCTATTAATCCATTCCTTATTATTCACACAATATAAAGCAAGGGCAGATGGTGCTTTCAAATGGTGTTACAAATATACAAGATTATATGATAATGACAATGTGCATATGATTGTGTCCAAAGGAAGAATATCCCTACATGAGTGTTCATGGTTGTGTGTGTTTATGTGTGTGTATGTACACTAACTGCTGAGGCCTTTTTTTTTCAAATGAGAACAGAAACTGTGCCAGGCACCGCTGTCCCTCAGCTACTAGACAAGGGCTTAATCTGCAATCACGACCCACAAATTTAGAGATTATTCTGGTATGTCACTGCACAACCATCCACGGGATCCTCAGAGGAGACCTGCTTTGTCAAATCAATTCCCATACATCTCATTGGCCCCTGATTCGCGGAGGTCCCTCCTCCATCTCAAACAGAAAGGGGTGGTTCCTTTGGTGCATCTGATTTATCAAAATAGGTCCATACTGAGTGAAAAGCACTGGTATCTGGTATCTGCTTTGTAATACAACTCTATATCTGTTACAGGTTGGCAAAACGAACTGGAATTTATATCACAATATTTTCCGATTCCATGATGGCACTATGATGTACAAAGGTTACATACAAATTAAATTGTATAAGCGCTGCAAAGTTAATGTGATACAAGATCTTTTTGACCTAATACAACCAAACAAGGTGAAAAATTTGATGAGCGTGATACGTGATGCACAAGCCCATTCAGAAAAAACTGGAATTTTTCCAGTCAATTTACATTCAATGAAAGCAATTAAATTCTATGGCAGTGGTTTTCAACCTGTTTTCAGCCTGTGACTAGGCTGTGGTGGTACTGCTAGGGGGCCACTGACAGTTATATTTTTTTTTTACCCAACAATTTTAACCTTTTCAACTCCTTGAGACCACCGGTGGTTCCGAAACGCACTTCGTTATATTCTTCATAACTTTCATTTTTCATAAGCTACGTTCAAAAGGTGGGTGTGATATGAGAGCTGTAACTGTCTTCTTTCCAGTCAAATAGATGGGTAATGCAATTTTAAACCCTTATCATAGAAGAAGCTGAACTCAATTTCTTTGCCTACTGAAAGTTGACCCATTTTTCCACAAATCTGGGCTATAAACTATAAACAGATGGTGTCTCTTCAGTGATCTGCTCTGTAAAAATTATTTTTATAAAGTATTACAAAGAGCGTCTAAGATTTTTGGCTTTCAGCAGTAAATTGTAAGCATATAGTAACGTGTATGATCATAAAACACGTTCTGTTAATTTCAGAAGAGCTTTTAAACAATAAATAAATAAATAAAATTTACATTTATTTCATGCAGTTACTGAATAATTTGCCTTACGATTTGGTCATGTAAATTCAGATGGAAAAACCAAAATATACCCTGGAGAATGAGAGGTTAATAATGATACACATTACTGACGTTTGTATGGAATTCATCCATCATAGATAAATGACTATGAATGTCCTCAGAGTTGAAAATCATATTGAACCTGAAAATATTTAAATTGTTATGCTCCTTGCGCACATCTGCATGTAAGCTGCATGCATGAAGCAACATTAATATATTAACTGTTAATGTGAACACAAGGCACATATTCAGGCACTCCTTATTTCTACTATATCGAAAAATATACAGCATCAACACACCAACACAGTGTATAGACAGAGTCTAATTTTGAAATTTTGCACATCATCACACCCCTACACTCTTCAAGGGTTCGTTAGTAAAGACAGTGGTTCTATATAGAACCGTGAACACTCAAAGAACCGTTTGCATGCTTAAAGAGTGCTTTGCACTTGCATGGTGAAGAGTTCTATATAGCACCAAAAAGGGCTCTTCTATAGTTTTGATGTCAAGCTTGTAACAATAGAAGAACCCTTTTTGGTGCTATATAGAACCATTTTCAAAAAGGTTCTATTTGGGACCACAGGCCCTATACAACACATTCTTCATCAATCTGAAGAACCATTTTACCATGCAAAGAACCCTTTAAGCGTCAAATTTTACTTTTAAACCTGCAAAAGCGGACACTTTTCTTCCAGCTGAGACCATTTAGGAGGAAAAACTTTAATAATCACACAGGCTAAAGCAAAGTATTCATCTCATCCTCAAATGAGCTGTGAAATGCAACAGACAACTCTGCATGCGCCTATAAACAACACACATCACTAAATATATGCAGTGTTTTTTGCCTCTCCAGTAAAGTCACTTTTTTGGAGATCTGAGTTTTTGTGCCAACAGTTACAGTTCACAGCGTTTAACAGGATTTAATTAATACATATAGCCTTTAGTTGTCTATTTGCACACACTAAATTGCTTTACTGCTCTCATAGATGTAGTCGTCATCCCCTTTAAACACGTCCCAGTAACAGCACTTGCAGCTGGTACTGTGTTTAAAGCCTTTTTGTATACGAAAGGATCTATGAAACAAAATGATTAAGATTTATTACTGTGTTTTAAAAAAGGCTTAACTCCTAAGCACTTCTCTCTCTACCCTGCATCTGACCCAAGAATGGAATAATGCGTTAGTGCTGACCTGAGATCAATGCTGTCCATCCCAAACATAAACTTGGTATTACAGTCTAATGGCTAGTAACAGATTCAGGGTCAGTGTTGTGTACAACCATGAAAGCACGGCCTCCTCCTGTCTAGACTGCCTGAGCCTGGTGAAATATGGGCTCACGTACTCTCTCAGAGCCTATCAGGCACCTTAAATGGTAATGATGATGTTGAGGGATTCGGTGAGGTCTTTTTTTTCGTTCTGGACAGTTGTGCTCAGATGTACGCCTGAGTACGGCTTGATGCATCTGAGGCAGCATAAGGCCACGTGCATGAGATTTAATACTATTTAAGAGGATTCGAGGCAGATGGCATCCTTTTGTTTGAGTGTGGGTTTTATTATTAGAGAACAGAGGTGCGCTGAAGTGAGGACAGAAATGCCGTTCTAGTTTGTTTTGCAAATGGCACATACCGCTGGAAATATTTGGACATGACACAAACTCTCACGAATGCATCTCCTTTCCAAGACTTTCTCTCCAGTCGTTCAGTCATGAAGAGTCACTTCTAGTTTTCTTCCCACTAGACTGTGCACATTTACCCTAAAGCCTGACATCTCAGTATGTAGTTCCTCTCCTTTTAGACAGAAAAGCCTAATGGCTCTCTATTTTTAAACATTTTACAACATGCTTAAAAACTTAAAAGCCATGTGTGTTTGAGACTAGTTTAACAATTAGTCTTACCTGTTTGGTTACCAGCCTCTTATTAAATATGTAATAACCAAGTCTCCCCCTGGGTCATTACACAGCATTCAATATTAAATACCAGGTTTCATTCTCACTATTGCTTTTAATAGTTGTTCAAAATCCAGTGGAACCCTCTTGGGTTTAGAACCATTTTTCAGACAAGAACCATTTAATCATGCAAAAAACTATTTCTAGGTTCAAGTGTTCACAGTTCTGTGTATAACCTTTGTCTGTACTAAAGAACCACTGAAGAACCACTTTTTAAGGGTGAATTGTGAGGAGTGAGACATGTATACAGAGAAGAGAGAGAGAGAGACGAATAGACAGAAGAGAGGTAGACTGAGGCAGAGAGACGTGTATAGAGGAGAGTGAGAAAAGCAGAGAGAGAAGAGATAGAGAGACGCATATTCAGAGAAGGAGAGAGAGAGAGACGAATAGACAGAAGAGACGTGTATAGAGAGGAGAGAGAAGAGATAGAGAGACGCATATACAGGGAAGGAGAGATAGAGGAGAGAGAGACGCATAAACAGAGAAGGGGAGAGAGAGATACGCGTATACAGAGAAGGAGAGAGAGACGCGTCTACAGAGAAGGGGGGAGAGAGAGAGGGAGAGAGACGGGTACAGAGAAGGAGAGAGAGAGAGAGAGAGAGAGAGAGAGAGAGAGAGAGAGACGCGAATCCACCGAGCAGGAGAAAGTATTCTTGGAAAGGAATTCCAAATGGATGGGATGAAACCAGCCATGGAGTCGACGGCCGAGGAGAACCCTGATGAGAGGGAAGAGAGCAAAGGTACCTTCAGTCTGTTTTAACGGTTTTTAACGGTTCCGCTCCGTTTTCGTCGTCGCTCTTTGTAACGGTCCTTCGGCGCGCGACGGCTTCGATTCCCGCGTCACAAAAGCCCGCGCGCCCTTCGACGATGTGCTTCATTTTGGCGCGTTTTGTCGACTGAAGATTCGACGCGTTTCTCATCTCAGTTACTCAGTTATGATCAGTTTACCTGGGCTCGGTTCATCTGTCAGAGAAATGCGTTAAAACGCTCGGTTTATTTTATTCAGCATGTGTGAAAATCACCCTGCCTGTCAGCGCTGTAAGTGGGGCTGATTTGTCTAAAGGATGTATCCAAGGATACTGATGTTTTCTCCATCAGATGAAGCCATTCAGACGATTTAAATCGCGTCGACGTTAATGAGGTTGGACCCGTGATAAAGAGAAATGTTTCTCTGTGGAGCTGCTCGTTGTTCTTTGAGGCTTGGCTCTGTGGTGTCGCATTTTACTGGAGGTGGTGTTTACATTGTGAAGTGTTGGAGGCTCCTGCTAAATCGCTTCTCCTCTCAGCGGTCTATTGTTATGCTGTGGCTGGATTAAAGCGGGATAACCTGAGATTTACACTGGCTGTGTGTTGGTCGACGCGCTCTTTCATAATCTAGTGACACCTATACTGACCGAATTACCCACCATAAACATGTAGGCGTCGAGATTTTGATGAAAATGATAGTTGTTCATCTTGTCAAGCTAAAACAAAATGCCTTGACTGAACACGTCCATAACAGAAAGGAGAATTTCTGTATGTGTCTCTCTCTCTCTCTGTCTCTCTCTCTGAGTGTGTGTGTGGGTGTATGTATAGGGTGTGGATGTATGTGTTAAGTGTCTTTTGAGATTGATATTTCTAATATTTATGGGCTGAATTTTGATCAGGATAATAGTGAAGAAAGCTGCAGGAACATTTGTTTGTGTGTTTGTTTACTTGAACTGATGCAATGGCATACATCACAACCTTATGGTCTCAAGAGCACTGGAGTATCCCTGCCCCTTCACCTCCAGCCTCTATTAATTCTACTTGAGCGGTTTGGTTCAATACTGAACATATTAGTCCCTCTTTTGTTACTCGTTCAAGTCCACTGTGCTGAGAAACAGATATGAAACGGCCATTGTGAGGGATTCTCTCGAGTGTTTCCCAGGCATAATGGACAGATGAACGGTGGTAAATGGGCTGCTCCTCAGCCTCACCCTTCAGTTAACACTATCACTTACAGTGCGGCCCTCAACAGCGCACTGGAAACATTAGCTATTGAATTTTTTGCTAGTGTGGAAAATGATGATGCACTCGCTGTGCTTACTTCATTTGATTGTGCCTCCTGGGAGAAAATGGCGTGAATCGCACAAATACCTTTTGAGTAAATTCAAGCAACCAGGTTTGTTTTGGATCATTTTAATAATTTCACTGTGATTGCGTTCAGGTATTTTGGTCTGATATAGAATCATTTTAAAGTATACACAATATGCAAATGTATCTTGAGTAGTGTAATATAAATAATTAAACACATTTTTTTTGTTTTTTTGCTTTTTCACATGTGAAAATAGCCTAAATTTTTATTTTGGTAAAAAATTAAGCCCATACCTTATTGAATATTATTATAATCAATTACACTGGATTCAAACATTCCAACATTTTTGCAGTTGAATCTCCACCTTCAATGCACCAGGATACACCGATGTTTTTACACTTCTAGTGACATTACAAAATCAACAAATGAGTTAATAGAAAGCCCAAAAATCCTTACACCAGGAGGACCGGAGTCCTGGTGTGTTGTTAAGAAGTGACTCTCCCCTTCTTATGAATATTAGATGGTTCCTCCTATGTGGTGAAATATACCATCAGCATGATTAGTTTTTAATGAGCTATAGGACAGATTGGCCTGTGGTGCAGCCACCTAATGTTTGAATCAGTAAGGTTTGAATGAAGATGTGGTGTGTTTGCTTTGACATGGTTTTCTTGCAAATTCTCTCGTCTAGGATGAACTGCAGTCAGGCTCACTTAATTGGTTCACTTACGCCAGCAATTATTTGAATCAGGCGCTTAAATACTTTGCGTAAGACGATTCTGGCAAGCGAGCACCTCATAAGGGCTGGGGGTTGGCTGCCCTTGTTGGGATTGGAGCTGTTTTGAGATCTGATGTTGTGATCACTTTAGAGATAGGATTTTAATTTTAGATCAGATGTTGGTTGTGCAGAGCAGTTTTGCATGAATGATGATCAGGGAAGGGTGTGGTGCTTTAAATACGCAATATCTGAGTTATATTTGTTTACATTCTTGAGAATTTGGAATTAAAAAAAGAGATGTGTGACACAGAACCACAGAGAATTTAGGATGCAAGCAGCTGATATTATGTGTCATATTAAAGCTACACTAGCTTTACTGAGTTAGGGGAAAATAAACACACTAAAATATGATGTCCAGGCACTGCTGTGAGACACCATGTAAAGCTTGAAATAATAATTTAAATGTCAGAGGTGTCAAGTTGAATTTTGCAAGGGTTTTCCAAACCACGTCATATGTCTTTACATGTTAATGTTACTTGCACAGCCTCAGAAAGATAGTCTGGCCCAATATTTAGGTCTCAAACACAAACTCAACATTATACTAGTAAAGATATGATGGCAATACTAGATAATTCCCCCGCATTGTCTGCAGACATGTTGTTCACCAAGTTTTGACTGAGTTCTCATTCAGTAATCACTTGCAACCATCAGATTCATCTGCTTGGGGAAGGGGTACGAAGCACCGCCGATGGTATAAAATGTTCTTTCACAGAAACATGCTTGGAATTATGCCTTTCCACCATAGAGGTTTCCAAAATACTCAGATCTTACATAGTGTAGCTTTAAATTAATTGGTGACAGCAAAAAAATTATTAATTTGTATGGTTAATTTGTATTGTTAATTATTGTTCTGTAGATCATCACATATTGTGTTAAATCACATATACTTAAAATGCAAATAAATAATTAAATATAAAGTGATAAATCACTAAATCACTTGAACAAGCAGGGAAATCACCTCTTATGTAAGCTACTAGCAATAAATGAATGCTTAACCTTCTCTCTATTTGTTCTACATTCATAACAGTATGAAAGATTTTCATGCTGGAAAGTTCCAGTTTCTTTAGTTTAAACTTGTGGATATTCAAGTAGCAAAAATAGTTAAAATGCATTACATTTCGAGGCAAGAAATAAGTCCGTTTTGTAGTAGTTGCCATGGAAATGAAATCGATGAATGATTTTATGGCCTGAACAGTGAACCATCAGAGCATGACAATACTCTTTGAATCCCTTGAGCATTATATAAAATGGATGAGAGCTGTACAGTGGGGGAAATGTATAATCCCAGACATAGGATTGATATTTGTCCTGATTGCTTGCTAATCTGGAATTTAGACATCATTTTGGATTGCCTGCATAAATCTACACACGAATGAACAGATCAGGTGCCTTGTCCAACTCTACACATTTAAGCCTTACACAGCATCAGGCAAGCTATAACATTAAAGAGGAAGTCACATAATCTGGAAGATAATCTTTGACGGTTAGCCTTGTGTGAAGAGCCTAGGATAATTGTCACGTTTGAGAGCAGAACCAGCACATGGTCACACATGGTCAGTCTATGGTGTGAGAACATGAGGGTGGCATGAGAAAAAGTGGGAAGGGCTCTTGCACGTCCATCTCTTTGTCTCCCTCATGGTATCTCATTATACCCTCCATCACTCTTTATCATTCTGTGCTAATTTTGCTTTGTCTTCTGTTTTTGCTTTAGTTGAAATTCAAAGCATCTCTAGCTTTTATTGTCTTGGAATCCTCAAGTCTTTCATGCTCCTTCCGTCCCTCTCTCTCCCACTCAGGGAAAAAATGAGCGCGTTCTTCCTTCTCTTACATAACTCACGTTTACTCGTTCGCAGCCGCTTCCTTGCTAGAGTAGGCCTTGAGATGAGAGGGATTACATCATCGCTATGATGGATGGAAAGGTAGAGCGAGGAGAGGGAGGCGAGGGAGGAGACACAGCACAGGAGGATTGGAGCGATTCACCATCAAATTCGTTGCACCTATTACATCATCGCTGTGATCAAGGAAGAGGGTCTGTAGGGATGGAGAAAAGGAGGAAGATGCTGCAGAGGAGGATGAGAAAGTGACAGGCATTGTGTTTGTTGTCATGGCTGTTGACTATAACTTTAGTCAGGTTTATGAAAAAAGACTAACCACTTAGTGGTAGGAGTGTAAAACCCAGATCTGATAACGATTCGATTCAAATCTTTAGGAAATTATTCAGTCTCAAATTTCACCTACATTCAGTTAACTTAATCTTTCTTGAATCTTTCTTAGTCTTTATTGAATACTATTATGATTTACTATAATCTATTATAACGTTCTAAAAGCAGTACAGTTAAATTGCCACCTTTGGGTCAATGCATTGATGTGTTTTTACACCCCTATTTAGTGGTCATATCTTGACAGTCGGTTGAGTCCTCCACTGACTGTTCAGTGATAAATAATCAGTAGAAGTGGACAGGATGACACTGACTTGCGTCCACTTACAATCCATTTGTAGGTGATTCTATTCAAGAGCAATTATCTTTGCTTTTTGATTTTGAATCCTGTGCTTTGATTTCATTGTAGTTGTTATATTTTCCACAATTTCATCAAATTGAATTGTCCTTGCTTTGAAAAAAAGTGTTTGATATGGTATGTAAACATTTTTAACCCACGTTTCAAAATGCACTGATAACTCCATATGTGGAAACAGCCTATTATGTAAAAAATACCAATAAATTTACTTATGTGGACCTTTTTATTTAGCCTATGGCAGTTTATGTCCACCAGTTTACATCAATGTTATAAAAGGCAGTCAATCAGAACAGAGTTTATTTACATATATCAGTCTTAAAGACACAGCAACAAATACAACCTTAGTAAACAGGCCCACATATATGGCCCCTTTCAACTTACTTTCCTTGAAA